AGCCTACAAACTTGCCCAATGGTACAGGTTAGGATTGGTGTTCTCTCTTGCCAGAAAAATACACTGGCAAGGGCTGGTCCTTGCCTCAGGGTTTCCAGTACAAGCAGAAGCAAAGATTTTGCTCCCACATCCTGCTCTCTCCTGTCAAAATGGTGGCTGACACCTAACCCTGCTCTCTTGTGAGTGAATCATCCTCTGCTGCGCYATCTACTAGTCCTGTCTTCCCTGGGCTCCTCAGCTGCTGTCTAGGCCTCTCTCTTGCCCAATCCCTGTCAGTGCTCTTTTCACTCCTCAGGGAAGAAAGAAGAGGAAAGGCCCAGACATGCTCRACTAACTGTGAAAATCACCTCCAGCCTCTGGCTCCTGAAAGATGTCTCTAAATTTTCCTCCTAACCAAGAACATGAACTAGAGCTCACCAACAGCTCCTGAGCTGAGACACAAGCAAGGAGATGCTGTAGCTCAGACAACCCAGGAGAACCTTTTGCAATAGCTGCCCCTTTGGACAGCAGTCAAATGGATGTCAAATGGATGGAGTATATTCTGTGGGCAGTACTTGGGTGAACGTTGCCTGTTTCCTTCTCTCCTCAAATTAACCCCCAGCATGCTGCAGCATTTAGGATCTGGCACTTGAATCTTCTGTCTGGGTTAGTCTCAAATCATGAACTTTTATTTTTCCTGATGTTCTGGCTGTGTGAATTCTGCAGTTTGTGATACTAAAAAAAAATTAAATAAAAATAATAATCCCAGGGAAGCTGCTTACTGCCCAGAGAATCTGTGTGGCAGATTGCTTTAAACTGGAACTATTCCAGAAGGGAGACTTAACTGACCTTTGCTCTCCAACAAGTAGTTCTTACGTATTGAAGTTGTAAAATAGCTCTGAAATGATCATTCCAACTTTATGCTCTTTTTTTTTCTGCAGTTAGGAAGAGCTTTAGAGGTAAGACCAAAAAGGGGCAGTGGTTTGTGATCTGTTTAACTTTTATTTGAGGTATTGTGAAAGCTGTGAAGTGAAGGACATCTCAACTCTAGTCAGCTTCCCCTCCCACCATTCTTTCTTATTCAGGATTATCACATATCTCTTATTTCCTGAAGCTGTATCAGGAATGACAAGACTTTTCTTGTCTTGCCTATTTGTAGAGAACTAGTGGAAATTGTAGGTGTATAAAATGAGCTCCCCTTTTGCCAAATTATGATCTAGTACAAGATCTTTAGGCACTTTTGAAAATCTGTTGTTTGATTTTTCTTGTTCCTAAATTATAGGGGTGATAGATGTTGAATACTGACTGCAACAAGCCCAGGTTCTTCAGCTAGAGCATAAATCACATTCCCTCTCAAAGTCCTCAGTTCTGCTTGCCGCTGTGGTGCTGCTCCTGCTGCTCCATCTCTCTGCCCGCAGAGTCCTCCATGAGCGAGGAGATCTGGGCATCCCTGCATGGATGAGGAAGAGCTTGGTAAAGAAAAAGAGGGCTGCTAAGCGAAGGAGAGACTGGAGGAAATTGTCTGAGTTGGCTAATGTGTGGATCTGCATGGTTGTAGGGAACATGCTCCAGGCTTTCCACCCACACTGGTATAACAGGTGTAGTAGCACAGTAGTAGTAGTATAGTAGTAGTAGTGTAGTAGTGCTTGGCACCTGAACTGCTCTGTCGCCTTGGTTCTCCTGTGGCTGTCYCTAGGGGAGGGGGCAGACATTCTTGGAGGCCCAGGTCTCACGGCACCAGGGCAAAGTGGGCAGCACCTCTGTCTTCAAATCTGCTTTATTAAGGAGTTGTTTGCAGAAACATTAATTCCAGACAGTGTCCTCTTATATCTGCCTGTCATTTCCATAGCCCAATCCCTTTCCTATCAGTCCCAGGACTTATTTTAGAGAAATACGTAATCCAGCTTCCTGTGCTTGTAGTTCTGCACTACCTAATGCTTTTATCCTTCATGAAGGGATGGGTGTACAAGAGCTACAGCCATGACTGGGATTTACGATCTTTTAGTCATTTCTTAGTAAGATAATTGGCCCTAACAAATTTTGGGTTGTCTTCTTCCAATACTGCTTGGATATCATGCATCGGTAAAGCCAGCAGTTTTACATTTGCAATTAACTTTCTGTTTGATGGCTGTTCAGATTCATGTCTATCTGATTTCATATTTATGCTTCTGAGCAGAGGTGGGAAGAGGACAAAGAGCTGGAGTTCAGCAGTTCGCTTTTTTCTTCTTTTAGAGAAATGAGTGAATATGGAAAAGCCATTTTATCTTCTGCACTGTGTTGATAAATTGCCCTTTCATTTCTCTCTCCCTTATGCTTTTATTGAAGTCACAGGCAAACCTCTCTCTTGGAAGGTGGAAAGAATAAATTGCCAAGAGAATGCATTTGCTAGATGCCTTTCAGTAATGGAACTCTACAAATAATAGGTTTTTCACTTTAGTGACTGAGTTCAAAAATTGAAAATGCTTTTTGTTTTGGGTCTACCTGTAAAGGAGAATGTTTTCCCTTCCCTTTCCTTTCCTTTCCTTTCCTTTCCTTTCCTTTCCTTTCCTTTCCTTTCCTTTCCTTTCCTTTCCTTTCCTTTCCTTTCCTTTCCTTTCCTTTNTCCTTTCCTTTCCTTTCCTTTCCTTTCCTTTCCTTTCCTTTCCTTTCCTTTCCTTTCCTTTCCTTTCCTTTCCTTTCCTTTCCTTTCCTTTCTCAGATTTTTTAAAATTCTTTTTTATAATCATTGCATAAGACAGTCTGTTTTGGGATTATTTAGTGCTTTTTATATCTGAGAAAAAAAATGAAAGAAAAAGAAAACTAGGTCAATTTCAAACCAAAAATGTCATTTGAAAGAACAACAGAGGATATTTCCTTTTGGAATTGTCGCAGTGGAGCCTTGCAGCTTTTCTCAGATTATTTTTTCAGCTAAAACCAATTCCATGCCCAAATCAAATTTGCTTAAAGTCTCAGTATCCCTTAATTGCACCTCTGTGAATTACTGCACCATAGGCAATCGGCAGCATGATCTGCACCAGCAGTGACCTATTCTATCTGCTGCTCAGCTGCACTACCTGGATGCAGGTAGAGCTGCTACATGTGCATAWGCATTTAATTCTAGTTAATTGAGCTCTTGAGCAAGGAAAGAGAAGAACTGACCTCTCCCGTTGTCTATGGCTCCAGGAAAGTCCAGGTACAGGCAGCAACTCGCCACGGAGCAGTGCACGGGCTGAGCAGCAKCACCCACGGGTCTTGGCTGTGCTCTGGTCGCAGACGCAACGCGCTCGCGTGGCCCCTCTGCGCCGGCCCAGCCTCTTCCTGCAGCCTCTGTGGCTCCAACAGTGCCCACGGATGGCCGGGGTTTCCCCTTGCATGGAAGGGGAATGTCCATCTATTTCTTAGCCTGGTGTTCTAAGGAGATGCTGCTGATGAGATTGTTTGCCTCTACCTGTGTCTCTCCATCTTTATCTGCCTTCTGAATTCAAGGCCGTGGCAGCATTAAACCCTAACAAGTGTAATGGAAAGTATTGTTGATAGACATGAAAGACCAAAATTAGTGCACAYCCACCAGAGATAGCTCTGATACCTGTGCGAATGTGAAGAATGAAGCAACCACCTAAGCCATTGGCACATTTCCACAGCACAGGCCATCATCTGTCTGCCCCAGAGAAAAGCTAAGGGATATGAGGAGAAGGAGAAGAGAGACAGACCTGAAAAAAGTGCTGTTTGGGACCATGGGCCACAGACCCGAGGGAAATGTGCCTGTGTGCATGCTGCTGCCCATGGGACGCCTTGCTCTGATACCATGAAGCTGCGCCAGGCCCACGTGCGGGTTTTGTTCTGTGACGGCGCCGACAGACGGGCAGTGCCCTTAGCTCAAGGTAGGACTTCACCTCAGTAAATCCCCCACACGTGGTGTGGCCAGGTCCGGGCTTCGCTGCACCAAGAAGTCAGCTCCACTGGTGCCTTTTGAGATCGGAGTTTGTCTCAGACAAATCCAGGACAAGTTATCGCCTCTTCAGCATCTTATTGCAGAGGAAATTAAAATCAGCAACAACTTTTTTGTTCCTTGAGAAATTAGCAATTATTGATTCCCACCAGTGAAGTTCTGGTCCAAGGGGTTAAGGAGGGAATATTTGAGCCTCTTTCTCCACATATCTTCGTGGACCTCAGCTGGAAAGCCTGTAGGCAATACGGAATGGCTGACAGGTAGTGAATAATTCAATTAGTGCAGCAGAAAGTGGTTTTCTGAGGTGAGGAACTCTGGGTTGGCCACTCAATGGTTTCACTGCATCTCTCACATTAACATACTGAAGAAATATCATTTTTTCTGCACATGGCTGGGTCTCATTTCTCATTAAAAAACCCTCTTTTATGGCAGTCAGAGGCTGAGTGTAGCCGGCCTGTGCCAGGCCTGGCCTGGGGGCGTGCGGTCCCGGAGCAGCAGGCAGCCCATATTCTCTTTTACATYTTTACCCCATATTCTCTTTTATATCTTTACCACTGTTACTCTTGAGACATTATTGCCTCTGTGCTTACAAGTGCTGCCGCTTGTGATTTAAATCACCAGCTTGGCCTTGGCAAAGGGTGAAGCAAAGCACGCGCTAGTTGAGCCTGTACCCGGAGCGCGGCTGAAACAAAGCCCTCATCGGCACGCTACCCTGCCCAAAAATAAAGCCTTGGCCTTGCAAATAGTGTAAGGGATTAGGAATTTCTAAGCATTCATCAGCCTGACAATAGAAATGGGAGAAAGCCTGAGCATTGACAGCCCTCTGCTGCAGCACGCATGCTTCTCAACATGATAATTCAAGGCATAGCAGAGCCAAGGGGTCCAATATTCCCCTGTGATTCATGTCATCTTTTTGCAGATCTTTTTCTTTTCTTGTTTTCCTAAAATATCAACATTTTCCTGTGCCGAGAGGAGTTTCCCAGCAGCTGGCAATGCAGCAGGCAACAACAGCCACTCAGAGTATGTTCTGGTTATTCCTCAGAGAGAGCGGCAGGAGGCAATGCAAGCAGATCTTTGATGCTGCAGATCAGAGATGGACCTTGGTGAAAACTGGAAGCTGGATGAAACCAACTGGTTGTCTCATGGTGGGATCCATCCTTTTGCCAATGTGAAAGGAGGTAGGATATAACTGTGCAGTTTTAWTCAACCCAATGAACACGCGGGTGCTCGCCCAATGTGCTGTTGTCCTTCATGGTGCTTGCTGTAGTCCTAGGGGTTTTATTGGGCTACATTCAGGAAGGAGCAAGGGGGAGAGCTGGTAAGAAATCTCTTTCTCACTTTAGTCATATTTGTGTTAGCAAATTTAGGATGTCTCCTCAGAGACAYGCTGTCTTGCTAGTGACAAGAGGACCTTGGGCTGCCCCTTCTTGAGGTGCCTGGATGGACCCATTCAAGGTTTCAGCCCACCATAGTATGCTGCAAGTTTTCCCAAGCCCAAGATTAGGGTGCATTGCTATCTAGAAATTGCCAGCCATCCTCAAAGAGCTGAAGGCTGATGCCATGGGAAAGACTACAGACTGCTTTTGCCTATCTATTTGTGGCTAAGGTTTTTGAGCCAGCTTTTGTAATTTGCTTTTATTCCCCATTAGCATGTTTTGCAAAAGCAGTTGCATGTGCTCAGCCTCATCATGTGCAACGTGTCCCACAAGCCAGGACACAAGGTTGCCCGTCCTCCTGTAAAGCTGGCTTGTTTGGCTTGCTCATGCTGTGGCCCAGCTTAAAAAACAAAATAAAATCACAGCGTTCCAGGTGACAGCACCTTGGGAACTAAAACATTTTGCTTGGTAAGATGCTTCATTTTGCTGGATAAGATGCTTCACTTATCTCCATCTGTTTCCCATCATGTCCTGCTGACAGCCCTGCAGATGCCTGGAAAAGGATGACGGGAATTGTGCAAGAGGTGGCATGGCCTCCCTTTCCATGCAAGCTGAGCTAGACAAGGATGTTCATGCTTCTTAGAGCAGCCCTGGGTTCAGTCTCTTCAGATCAGCACCACTGGGTGGCATCCTTTAAACACAGAGTTGCTTTTGTCCTCAAATCAGGAGCTTTTAGGCATTTTTCACGGCTTGGGAGCTGAACGGGCGCTGCTAACCCTGCCTTGATGCTCTCCTCCACTGCCGGGTGCAGGGGCAGCGAGGGCCCCTCTGCAGCACAATGTTTGCCCCAGAAATGCTGGGGCAGTTTGGGATCCACAGAGGAACCAGCATATTCCCAGGCCCTTTATCTGGCTACAAAGAACGACACCATGCTGGCTGCCCCAAGGGATGGATTTGATAGGAAAATAAGGGATTAGCATAGGGCAAACTCCTGCAGTCCTTTCTTCATGCCCCTTCTGACAACCTCTGCTTCTCTTAAATTTTTAACCCTAGTCTGTGTTGCTTTCATAGCTGAAGAGGCCAAACTTCTGGTGGGTTCAGAGCCCCGCTTCACCTGGGTCTATAAAGCAGAGAAGGGCAGAGTCACTGCTACAAAGAGTTTGCAAAAACCCCCAACTGTTAAACATGGCTAGATGTTCAGGGCTGGGTCCTGTCAGGTCTTGGAAACCTGCAGGGTTTAACCTGCCACTGAGTTATAGAATCCTATAATTCTGTTATCAGGGGACTCAAAGGCTTGCTCAGCACCCAAAATGTCCCAGCTGGGATATTTTCCTTCCTCTCAGCTGGTTAAACCTCCCCTGGTTGCATCCTGCTGCCATTAGACAGAGAGGAGATTGTAGCATGTCAGAAAGCTGCTCCCATCAGGGGAGGGAAGAGTCCCCGTGATTCATCAACCCAAATTTCAGCCTTTTCCTTGCTCATTTCCTAAAGCTGTGACAGTGAAATGAAGAAACGTCTGGTCATCTCAAAAATACTCCCACTAGTGACAGCAAAAAATAACCCTGGGAGGAGTGGGAGAGCTTGCAGAGCCCATGGGCTCACACGCCGGCTCCAGTCCCACCACCAGCCAGCTCAGGAGAGGGACCAGAGGGGCCACAGTGTGGCTGGAGAGCTGGGCGTCCCCATGGAGATCAGGGTGGCCACAAGGAGAGCCAGGCATCCTCAAGGAGAGATGGGCATCCCCAAGGAGAGCTAGGCATCTCGATGGAGAGCGGGGTGTCCTCAAGGATAGATGGGCAACCCCAAGGAGAGCTAGGCATCCTCAAGGAGGGATGGGTATCCCCATGGAAAGAGAGGCATCCCCAAGGAGAGCCAGGCTGCTGCTCTGTGTGTGCAGCCTTGGTGCCCTGCAATGGGCAGAGGTGGCTCCTAGGGGTAATAAGGGCTCATGCTGCCAAACTCCCGTGTTGAACCGATTCAAAGTTTTCTGCTAACAGCTGGAATGGATGAGCTGGAAGCAAGATGAGCAGGGGCTTATCTGCAGTGTGATTAAAACAGCTCCAACTCTCTACCCCTATCACTTGGGCTGACCTTTCCAAGCATTTTTTCTTCTTTCCTTAGAGAATGAGCTTTCCGAAGGTGCGCCAGCCCTGTTTGCTCTGGATCAGCTGGGTAAGTCCATGTGGAATACATTTTCCTACTTTTTTTTTTCCTTGGCACCCAATAGTGTAATTAGGAGATGACTTAGTTAAAAAATAGGGCAGCCACCAAATGCTTTCTGCTGTATAAATTTGTCATTATGACTGCCTGCCTTCTGTGGCGCCTTTGAGTGCCGGAGATCAGAGAGATGGGCACAGCTTGATGCTAGATGGGTTTCATATCTTCCGCCTCAACTCTGTGTGGAGTCTTTCCTTAGTGAGAGCAGCTTTCACCCTTCTGCTGCAGAGGACTTAGGCACTGCTGCTTCTTGGGTGTGGGGTTTAAGTTACACCAGTAGCCAGCAATGGAAATGTTGTGACTTTCTTACAATTTGGGACACGATGATTTTTATTTTATTTTATTTTATTTTATTTTATTTTATTTTATTTTATTTTATTTTATTTTATTTTATTTTATTTTATTTTATTTTATTTTATTTTANTTTTATTTTATTTTATTTTATTTTATTTTATTTTATTTTATTTTATTTTATTTTATTTTATTTTATTTTATTTTATTTTATTTTATTTTATTTTACTTTATTTTATTTGTGGGAGCCAGAACTAGAGGGCTGTAAGATGAGTAAAGATGAAGACACCCAGTGTGGACACTATAAATTGTATCATCCCTCACTGGGTCTGGAAGGGGGCATTGATCATGAAGCCATCCTTGCTGACAAGCCTTGTACAACTGGCCCTATTTTAAAAGAGATCTCGTGAACTCTCTCCACTTGGTGTCAGGATAGAGACTGCCCTGACATGGCTTGGACTAGAAGAGTGTCTAATAGGGAATAGGAATAAAGACAACTCCCTTCCTTTGGCTGCCTCATTCATCACCTGCCTTATTTAAAACAGGGCACTTTGCTTTAAAATGCATTTGCTTGTATACACCTTCCAGCAGCTCCTTTTCTTCTTATGCTTCCTCATCTCATCTCCCTTGACCTGCATGTTCCCACAGCAACCTGTGCCCGTTTTTCTTAGCTCCTCTCAGTCCAGAAGTTCTGAGGCTGCCCTTGCTCAGCTCTTGGCAAAGAACTCCCCTTCCCAGATGACAAGACTTCGCTGGGTTTAGCCGAGATGCAATGAAATGCACCATCAGATAGCAGATCTTTTCAGTTTGCAAAACAAGGCTCACTTCTGCCTTCTTGCTGACTCCTGATCAAGGGACAGGGCTCTTCTCTGCTGTTCTTGGGTGACCAGGACGGCGACATGGGGCAACCTGTATCCTGTCATCCCCCCTCTCTGTTAACRGGGGAACAATCTGCGCAGTCCAGTGTGCCCCATTTAGTCTGGGGAGTTGTTGGGCCCCATCATTTGTCCYGTCACCTCCCGGCCCAGGGGAAGCACAAGCTCCATGGACACTGCTTTCCTCTGCCTGGGAACATTAGACATCCCTCAGTCTGGAAAAGATTATTCAAAGTAGTGCTTGTATTACCTTACATTTCCACTCTGCCTTCCAAACACAGCGCAAGATGTGATTCTCCATCCAAGGTAGACAAGGCAGACAAAGGATGTCAGATAGCAGAACAAGTAATGGAAAACTGGTCGCTCYTTCCCCTTGTCCCTCCCGGCTTGTTAATTTTCAGCTGGATCAGTCTCCTGACCTGAGTCATGCGCAGCTGCATTCGCTCCGGTGCCAGGCTAGGGAGCTGGTAAGAGCGGGAGAGGACAAGACCATCCGTGCAGCAGCTCGGATTTGTGCTGTGCTGCAGTGATGGGGCGAGCAGGCCCTGCAAACCTCAGCACAGAGCTCGGCTCTGATCAACAGGCTATCTGCGTGGCGGGAATTATTATCAAAGGAGCAGAGAACAAAGCATCATTTTAACAATAGCACTGTGTGACTAAACATCGATATTGTAACAATGCATCATTATCATAAAAATCACAGCAAAGGAGGCTGGGGAGGCCCAGCTAACCCACCCTTCTGCCCAAAGGCAACTTTAACTACTCCTATTCACTGTAGTCATCATCCCACACGGGTGACCAACCTGCCTTCCAAACTCTAGGAGCCTTCCCAGGAAATCTACTCTAGTGCTCCACTTCTCCAAATACGAGGTGGCTTTTCTTGATATCTAACTAAAGCTCCGTAATTTAAGCCACTTGCATCTTGTGCTGTGGAAAGCAGACTTAAGGAAGAGTTTGCTCCTTTCCTCTTCATGTTTCACTGAGATTTTTTGATTTTGAAGGCTGCTCTGTCTCACCTACGTCTCACCTACCTTTTCTACAATAAATAACCCTAATTCCTTTTTTGGGTGTTAGCTTTTCTAGACTTTTCAGTGGTTTTCCTTTCTATTGTATTTCTAAATACCTTGCCTAATGTATTTCTAAATTGTATTTCTAAATTTCTATTGCATTTCTGAATACTTTGCCTTTCTTAAACTTGGAAGAGTGTTCCAGCTGTAGTCACACAGCAGGAGATCTGGGAAAACCGTCCACCTGGGTCAGACTCTTCCCACTGCCCACGCTGGGATGCAGCAGGCAACCCAGAACTGTCCCTTTACCTGGTATTTCTTGTCCTCTGTGTATGAGCTGGTTATTGTTACCCAGCTGCACACCACTGAATTGCATTTTTTTGCCTCTAGTGGTTCAGTCTGTCTTGAATTCTAATCTTGCTTTCAGCTTTCCAGCAGCTTATCTCAGCCTGGTGTCAACGCAGATGTAAAAAGCCATGCTTGGATTTTGAGTCATTCATGATTAGTACCAGATTTGAGAGAGGGTTTTTATATAGCCTCACACCATTAGTAAGTAGTCACTGAGAAGAGTTTCGACCACTCATCTATTAAGGCTTTGGTTTAGTCCAGGTTTCCCTCACTGCTTTGTTTTAGTCCAGGTTTCCCTCACTTGCTAATATAATACCATATGACAGAGTATCAAAAGCCTTACATATATGTCAACATATACGACATCTGCAGCTTCTCCCTCATGCACAAAGTTTATTACCTTGTCAGAGGAGAATATATTAGTCTGACCAGTTCTGTTCTTGCTGAGACTGCACTGGCTATTAGTCATAGTCTTCTTCTCTAGGAGATGTTTGCAAACCCTTTGACTGTTCTTGGGTTTCCAAAAATGGAATTAAAAAATGACTGGAAAATCACTTCCTAGCTCTTCTTTCTTTCCTCCTCTTGAAGACTGGTGCTCTGCTTGCCATGTCCAACCTTTGGAGACCTCTCCATGGTCTGACACTGTATAAATCAGTCCCTGGCTCCCCTACACCTGGAGCACTGGGCACCTCTCTGGGCTTTCCACTCCAGCCTGGAGAAGTGGTGGCCACGGGTGGCAAACGCGGCCCAGGGATAGAGGACCTGCCATGAAAGGAGACATTTGGTAAACTACAGCTGGGGTGGAAAAAGAGGTGCTTGAAGGAGGACATAGTAGAAGTATGGGAATCATGAATGGCACAGCAGTAAATAAGGAAAGGTTCACGGCAGCCCACAGGAAGTGTCTTTACACTGTACACAGCTGCATTGTGCAACTCATTGCCACAGGATGTCCAGGCTGCCAAAGTATGAATGGACCGAGCAAATGATTAGAAAACATTATGGAAGAAAGGTCTATGAAGGGCTATCAAACGCGCTGATGCAGGTACAGCCTCTGGCTCAGGAAGTTCCTGCGGTGGAGGAACTGCTGCAAAATGGGATCACGTACAAGGGATAACAGCATTTGTATCTGCACTGTTCTTTATACATATATTTCTTTCTCTGCAGCTAGTGGCCATGCCAGAGAGAGGCCACGTGGGCTTCTTAAAGTTTGCTCTAACCCAGCGTGGTCCTTCTTGTACTTCCTTTGGTCCATACTGATTAATCATGAAAGAAAGAAAGAAAGAAAGAAAGAAAGAAAGAAAGAAAGAAAGAAAGAAAGAAAGAAAGAAAGAAAGAAAGAAAGAAAGAAAGAAAGAAAGAA